GCTGAACGGCGTTCCCCCTGTGGGAGCACACTGACCCCCAAGGGGCAGTTCCTGCATCGAGCGTCTGCCCCCCTGGTGGTCAGTGTGCATCATAGTGACCGGTTGTTCTGCTGTTTGGATATTAGCCTTTTATTACACAGGATACCATTTCACACACCAGACTGCCTCCCTCATCAGAGGTGCTTTTGACAACACTGGGGAAAAATCAACTATTTCATATTCTTTAAAAAAAATGTTTTCATTGATTTTAGGAGGAGGGAGATGAGAAGGGAGAGGGAGAGGGGACGGGAAGTGTAGCTCAGGGGTTGAATGTCGGTCACGGAACCAGGAGGCCACGGTTCGATTCCCAGTCAGGGCACATGCCCGGGTTGCAGGCTGGATCCCCAGTGTGGGGCGTGCAGGAGGCAGCCGATCCATGATTCTCTCTCATCGTGGATGTTTCTCTCTCTCTCTCTCTCTCTCTCTCCCTCTCCCTGCCTCTCTGAAAAAAAAATAAAGTCCTTGGGGTTGTCAGCCGGAGCTTAGGGAGCGTGTGAGGTTTAGGGATCTGTGCAGGCCCGCCACCGAATGCCTTTTTGATCTGAGCATAAACTTTTATAGATAAATGTTTTTCGAAAGTCGTTTTAATGGGAAAAGCCTGCGCAACAAAGGGAGCCCGGCTCTCTGGTTTACATCAAGTTCCCCGGGCCTGGCGAGGCGGACAGAAGCTGACATCTGCTCTAATGCAGCACAGCTGGGCCGGCGGCCCCGGCGTCCAAGTCTGCAGGTTTTGATCATGAAGCGAGTTAAGCAAATTGTATCGGAAAGGCTGCCGGCGGGGCTGGCGCTACCGTATCAGGCCCGCGTGGAGGGGAAGGAGGGAAGGTAGGCTTTTCTTTTCAAAAAAAATATAAGCTTGTTTGATTTATTTTTTATTTTTTTGTTAATCCTCACCCCAAGATCATGTTCCATTGATTTTTAGAGAGAGTGGAAGGGAGGGGGAGAGACAGACAGAAACATCGATGTGAGAGAGACGTCTCGAGTGGTTTGCCTCCTGCACGCGGGGGGATGGAGCCTGCAACCCAGGCACGGGCCCTTGACCAGAGAGTTTAAATAGAGACATTTGCTTTTTGAGCGAATCCAGGAAGAATCATTGGCTCGTAGGATATAAACAATTTAAAATTTAAAATTCATGCCGAAACCGGTTTGGCTCAGTGGATAGAGCGTTGGCTTGCGAACTGAAAGGTCCCAGGTTCGAGGGTCTGTCTGACTTTCTATATCTCTCACTTCCTCTCTGTAAAAAATCAATAAAATATATATTTTTTAAAAAAAGAGTAAAAAAAAAATAAAATAAAATTTAAAATTCAGATCGTGCCCTCGGAAATTGCTTTCCCAAACTCTCCCAATCTATATAATTTTTTAAAAAAATAGGCAAGGATTCTATGTTTTGGGGAGAAACACAAAGCCATATTTTAAATGAGGATTCAGCTTTGATTTATATGTGTTTTAGCCTCAGAATGAGGAGGGAGCCATTTGATGCCATCAGGCCCCCTGCCCTGAGTCTGTGTGGAGGCTGAGAGCTGGGAGGCGGGACCTGCAAGTGCCGCTGGGTGAATCCCAGAGGCGTTCATGGCCCCGCGAAAACCTGTGGCTTACACGTCGTCTCTTCCCCGCTCTGGCCAGGGACCGCACACCCTTTCCGCGGAGCTGGGCGAGAAATGCGAAGCCATCGGCAAGAAGTTGCTGTGCCTGGAGGATCAGCTGCACGCGGCCATGCACAGTCACGATGAAGTCCTCATTCATATCCTTCTCGTTTGTTCTCTCGATGAACCGCCCGCCAGGTGGTTCTGTAAACGCAGGTCTTAGAGCAGTGGTTCTCAACCTGGAGGTCGCGACCCCTCTGGGGTTCGAACGACCCTTTCACAGGGGTCGCCTAAGACCATCGGAAAACACATCTATAATGACATATTGTTTTTGTGATGAATCACTATGCTTTAACGATGTTCCATTTGTAACCATGAAATTGGGGGTCACCACAACACAAGGAACTGTATGAAAGGGTCGCGGCATGAGGAAGGTTGAGAACCACTGGCTTAGAAAATGCCCTGTGATTCCAGGCCTGGGTAGGGGCGAGCGCACAGGCCCGGCTGCTGTTTCCAGGTGAGCTCAGGTGTCCGAGGGGATGCCCATGCATCTGGGGATGGAGCCCGCAACCCGGGCATGTGCCCCGACCGGGAATGGAGCCGCGACCTCCTGGTTCATAGGTCGATGCTCAACCACTGAGCCACACCGGCCGGGCAGGCCCTAAGTCTACGGGGGCTAAATGAGGCTGCATTCAGGAAGTAGGCTGGACACAGTCCTTATACGTGGCCAGTGCTCAGTTTCAGGTATAAAACTAGATCCTCCACATCCATTTGCCCCTCGCTCCTCCACGCTCATCATCTCTGTCACAACCTCAAACCACATCCAGGCAGAGGTTTCAAGGGAAGTCGATGCAACTCTTTTGTACCAAATGCTTAAATGGATTGATCAGTGGCCGCACTGAGGTTTATCTAAAAAGCCATTTAATTCTAATAAACGGCTGTGGGTAGATAGGGAGTCTCATCCCTCCTGGCTAGCTGAGAAAACGGAGGCTGAGACATCCGGTGGCCGGTCCAAGGTCACGTCTACCCAGTGGCAGCATCTCCCTGCTGGAGCCTCAGGAGGCAGAAGCAAAGAGAGGGGCCCCTCTGGGGGGGACACACAGTCACTGTCCACATTTCAAGCTCTAATCAAAGCGTTTTACCGAAGTTTGTTTATTTTTTTAAATCCTCCCCCGAGGATATTTTCCCATTGATTTTTAGAGAGAGTGGAGGAGAGGGGGAAAGACAGAGAGAAACACAGCGATTGGTTGCCTCCTGCACGCGCCCCGACCAGGGCCTGGGCCGGGGAGGAGCCTGCAATCAAGGTACCTGCCCTTGACTGGAATCAAACCCGGGACCCTTTGGTCCGCAGGCCGATGCTCTATCCACTGAGCCACACCGGCCAGGGCTTGAAGCCCTGTATTTTTTTTTTTTTGACAATGTTGCTGATCCTTGCTGAGATAATTGGGGACATACGGGGGAGAAGGGGGCCTCGTCACACCAGGATTGGGAAGCGCTGGTTTCGGTACTGAAGTCAACCCCTCCCCGGCAGATAAAATTTCCACCACCGTCTGGCTTTCCACCCCGACTCTTCCCTAAAGCCTGGTCCGCTCCACAGATGCACAGAAGGTAACCTTGACCTCCCAGGAAGCACTCGATGGTGAGCTCTTTAAGGAGCATCTCACTGAGTTCAGTTTCTCTCTCCGAAAACCTTTGTCATCGCTCAGGGTGTTACCCACAGGGCGTGTCGCCCCGTGGCCGTCTAGCAAAGGTCATTAGTTTGTCGGGTTCCGAAACGGCGTCAGTTCTGTGCTTTCCTCGCATAACCTTGCGATTCGGGTGCAGCGTGGGGCCCAGCCTGGGACCCCGTGCGCTCTGGCTCGTCTCTCGTCGTGTGCGTCTGGACCAAAGCGTCGCAGAGCCGCCCCGAGAAATGGAGGCAAACAGAGACGTTAAAGAAGCACCCCCTGGGCCCCACCCTCCTTCCCCTCAAGTTCTGGTGCCAGGAGGGAGCCGGCCCAGGAAATGCATGCAAATTGCACGCGTGACGGCGGCCGGGGAAGCGCCAAGAGAATGACAAGCTGCCAACAGCCTGGCAGGGTGGCTCCGCATTTGATGCTGAGGAGAGGCTCATCTGCATAATTCCCAGGCTCCTCTGCGGCTGCTTATTTTCTTAGAAAGAGAAGCCTTTGAACATTAGCACCTAAGGGCGTCTTTTCCTCTTGACCTTGGGCCGACCTTGCCCTTCAACAGAGGAGCCTGCGTGCGGCACAGACGGCCGGCCGCCGGGAGCTATGATCCCGGAGCTGCCGGTCCCAAAGCGGGTGGCTCTCCGCCCGGGACAGAGCCGTACCCACAGGGTCTGACCTCATGAGGTGACCTCATGGTGATTCAGTGGCGTCCACCTATTTCTCTGTTTTCCCTTTGCTCCTGTCGGGTGAGGTTCAATTCGTTTGCTTAGACGAGAAGAATCCAACGCGCCTCTCACCTGTATCAGAGCTGTCTGGCGGCAGGTGGAGGGGGGAAGGGCATGGGGAGGGACTGAGGGAGAGAAACCGCCACTGGTTCATGCTCCCCCATCCAGCACCAGGGACAGCCCCTTGCCCCTTGCTTCTTTTTAAATTTTATTTTAAAAAAAATTGTTTTTATTGATTTCAGAGAGGAATGGAGAGAGACATATCAATGATGAGAATCATTGATCAGCTGCCTCTTGCACACCCTGCACTGGGGATCGGGCCTGCAACCCAACATGTGCCCTTGGTCGGAATCGAACCCGGGACCCTTCAGTCCTCCGGGCTGATGCTCTATCCACTGAGCCACACCGGCGAGGGCTGCTTTTCCCTTTCTTCAGGCCCCACTTGAGACCGTTGGCAACCCCAGGCCGTGGAGAGATGGCTGTCGCTCTTAAACGAAGTGTCAAGTGCACATTAATATTTAACTCCTGCGATTTGGAAGAGCTAGAAACGGCAATTAGATAGCAGTGCCCATCTGCCAGCCGCCTGCCCGATGGCCTGCGTGCTCTTCCGGAAGGTTCCTTAACCGCGGCCACAGTCCCTGCGGGGCGAGCTCCGGCTGGTGAAGCAGACCCTACAGGCCATGATCCTGCAGCTCCAGCCCCCCAGGGAGGCGGGGGAGAGCGAGGCGGCCTCCTGGGCCACGGCCGGGGTGCGGGGAGCGCAGGCCTGAGGCGTGCTGGACGCGACAAGGGAAGGAGGTGAGTGACCCAGCCATGTATGCGAAGGCTCAGGAGCAGGGGCCGCTCTCACCTCCCTGGTCCCCCCTGGGCCTGGTCGATGGCGGAGACCCAGAGCCGCAAGGTCCCCCAGGACAGAGGTGACCAGGCCCGCTCTCCTGAGGCTGAGAGGGGTCCCCAGGTGGGAATGTGCAGGGGGGGGCATCGGCTGAGTTTCCTCCTAAATGTCACTCGGAGGCAATGGGCGCATCCTGCCCAGGATGTGGCAGTCTTTTCAGGGGAGCCCCTTTCGGCAGAAGTCGGGGTGAGCTCTCCCGGAGACAGGGTGCTCTCCCTGTGCTGTCTGGCTTTCTGCAGGGGTTAAAGTATCTCCTGACCCGAGAGCCTGTGAAAAGGAAACGAATCGTAGATGTGCCTCCCGCTATTCCGTCCCTCCTTCCTGCAGACGCGCAATCAACGGAGCTGATGGACCCCAGGTCCGGGATGAGCGGCCGTCCGTCTGCTTCACGCGCATCTCCGAGCGCAGATGAAAACCCCTGAAGGTTTCCAGGGAGCAGCCTATCAGTGGGCAGCGTTTCCGCTTTCTCCTTTTTTAAAAATATATTTTTATTGATGTCAGAGAGGAAGGGAGAGGGAGAGAGAGAGAGAAACATCCATGATGAGAGAGAATCATT